TATCCAAATGTTTTGCCAGGACTGAAACATGTATCCAAATGTTTTGCCAGGACTGAAACATGTATCCAAATGTTTTGCCAGGACTGAAACATGTATCCAAATGTTTTGCCAGGACTGAAACATGTATCCAAATGTTTTGCCAGGACTGAAACATGTATCCAAATGTTTTGCCAGGACTGAAACATGTATCCAAATGTTTTGCCAGGACTGAAACATGTATCCAAATGTTTTGCCAGGACTGAAACATGTATCCAAATGTTTTGCCAGGACTGAAACATGTATCCAAATGTTTTGCCAGGACTGAAACATGTATCCAAATGTTTTGCCAGGACTGAAACATGTATCCAAATGTTTTGCCAGGACTGAAACATATGTATCCAAATGACTATGTACCCACCTTAAAAAAAAAAAAATGAGGCGCACACGGCTCCCTCTGTGCATCTGACACCTAGATAACGCCGGCATTTCCAAACACAGCCGAGGAGTCAAACACCCCAGCGCTTTCCCTGAACTTGCCCGTACTTTTCCTTCCAGTGGAATCATTTACCCGAAGCAGAGGAGATGGGGACCAGCCATCCCATTTTATAGATGAGACACCGAGGCTCAGAGGGAGGAGGAGAAGCCCAGGTCCCTGGTTAATCGATGGCACCAGGACGAGAAATTGTCCTAAACCCACCTCACAGGCTGCCAATTGCTACCCCCTTCTCCAATATTTATTCTTTACCTTTTTCTTAGTAAAACAACACCTAGTTTTCAGCTGCAATGACTACTCAGAAAAAACACAGCATTCCTGGCCATCCTTGCAGCTTGGTGTGGCCATGGGACTAAGTTCAGGGCAGTGGAAATGAGTGAGGGTGTGTGGGCACCTTTCTGGGAGGGAGGGTACCTTCTTTGCCTTCTGTCATTCCTGGACTGGAATGCATATGTGATGGCTTGAGCTCAAGCAGCCACTTTGGGCCATGAGGCAATGCCTTTGCCGAGCATGGCAGAGCAGTCTGAGAGAAGGACCCTGGGTCTCTGATGATTTTTGGGAATCCTTCTGCCAGCCCTGGAATCCTGAAATGCCCACCTCTAGACTTCTCTTACATGAGAGAAAATTACTCCGACCTTTTTAAAGATAGCTTTTTTGTCCCTTGCTGCTGAACCAACACAGGCCTTCCCTGAGTGTCCGCTCCCTGCAATGTGGCTATTTACTCAACCCCTTCATGATGATAGAGATGAAGGAATAGCCCCAGAGAGGGGGCGTGAACTGTCTGAGGTCACAGAGTCCTCTTACATAAACATTTCTCTCCAGACCTGTGTGAAATAAGTGCANGATAGAGATGAAGGAATAGCCCCAGAGAGGGGGCGTGAACTGTCTGAGGTCACAGAGTCCTCTTACATAAACATTTCTCTCCAGACCTGTGTGAAAGCAAATAGCCCTGGCCTCCAGTGTGCAGGCCAAGACCAGGGCCTGGAGAACATTTCCCAACAGGATGTTCACACGATAACTAACCGATGGGGCCGGTGACACTTTGAAAGCCGTGGCCTCTGTGGCTGCTGTCAGCCCAGCCCTGCCCCACCCTCCCCGAGGACACACTGCAGGGCCCGGGTGTGCGACCCCCTGGCTCTGAGGAAACAATTCCCCGGAGGGTCAGACAGTTGAGTTCACTGGTCCATCGAGTTCTGATGGAGCTTCTGATGTGTAGCGTCACCCGTCCCGGGTTCCCCTCGGGGCCGAGAGGTTCCCAAGGCCTCCTCCCCTCCCTCTTCCTATTTGTCTGCATCTCCTGCCTCCTCACAGGGACCCCGGCTCTGATGGCCGAGAGAGAGAGCGCTCGCCCCCACGTTCCTGCCACGGGGCCTGGCAAAGCTCCGCGCCGCCTCCTCCCCTGACCTTGAGGTCCCTCAGTGGCATTTCACAACGTATCCTCCGGGCAAGGAGAGGCCAGTTCTCCCTACAGGCGGATACTTAGGGCCTCCTTCCGAAGAGGAAATAGAGGCGGCAGCCAGAGAGGCCCTTCCCAGCTCCCCGCCAGACCGTGAGCACCACCAGGGAAAATGCTGCCCACGCAGCCTGGTCTTCCAGGATCCTCTGCGGTGGGGACAGACCCATTTTGCAGAAGAGGAAGCTGAGAGCTGGGAGGCTGGTTTGTCCCGGGTCACAGCAGCTAGGCTGTCCCAGCACCAGGATCTAGCCCTGCCTCAGATCAGAGCCTGAGTCTCCCTATTGCCCTTTCCTGCCCTTACCCTGGGAGGAAGTCATCACCCCAGGCCCTGAAAGGGAAACCTGGACCTCAGGTGACAGCTGGAGGAAGAGAGTGGCTTCTCACTGCCAGCCATGTACCCCCATTCCTTGCTCGGGACCCCCTCACAGTCCCTGCATGGTCCTTTGCTGACCCATGACTGTCCAGCATCCCACAGTCAAGCCTGTTTCCATTGAGCCTGGAGTCACAGACGAGGCTTAGGCTAACCTGATTTATACTAGGGTGTGATTGACTGATACATGTCTGTTTCCCTTTAGAGATGCCGGCATTATAATCAAGGGCTCTGAGAACCTAGAGCTTAGTGACAAGGGAATGAAGGCGGAAGGATGCAGCTTCCAACAGCATAACAAGGGTGGTAGTGTTTTTTCAGGGGGTGGCATCCAGCCCTATGCTGACAGAAGGAAGGTAGTTAAGTCCAGGTCAGATGTCCATGGGCTGTGCAGTTTGCATAGGAATGTCACTCACTATGCAGCTTGTGGACGCAAATCCCAGCCAGGAAGTGCTCCTGGGAGAGGTGGCGCCTGAACCTGGAGATGTCCGTGCTTGTCCCCTCCCGATGCAGATGAGTGAACACTGCACCCCAGCCCCCCCGAAGGGACCCCAGCGGGCTGCTGTCCTGCCTGCCTTCACCCTCTCAATTAAACAGCTTATGTCTTTGGTCTAAGACAGCCTTTCCCAGAATCCCGAGCCCCCCCCCCCATGTGCATCAGGCTGGTCCCTGCCACCTGGAGAGGGAGGGATTCTGCCTTATGGTGACAATGACAGAGCGATGCCACCACACCGCTGACGGACTGGCCAAGGGCCACAGAGGAGGAAACGGCAGTGCAGGGATCTCAAAAGTTTGGCAAAACTTTGTTGCTATTTGAGGGCTTCTCTGTAAACACTCGATTGCTCAATGCGCATCCCTCCTTCCTCGGCCCTGACTCTCAGGCGCTCTCAGAACAAACCAAAAATAAAAGCCCTTTTCCAGCTAATTCATTCATCCTTGCAAATCCTCGCCGGGTCCCCCCGTCCTCGGAACTCGTCTCCCAGAGGAGGCAGAGGCCCCAGAGACAGAGGTCATCCTGGGGTGCTCCGGCCTTGGCAAGGGAGTCTCTGGGAAGGCAGCTGCCCCATGGACTCTGACCTCTAACCTCTGACCTTTGAGGGGGTACACAGAGTGGGGGACACTGAGGACCACCTCCTGTCCCCTCTGTCCTATGGGAGAGGATGCCCCAGCTCCTGTCCTGGATTCCCTTTGGAGGGCCAGGGGTGGGGGGTCAGCTTCCTCCCTCGTTCACCCCTAGAAGGAGGGAGGCACCCACTCACTCATCCACCCCTAGATGGAGGGATGGCACCCACTCACTCACTCACCCCTAGAAGGAGGGAGGCACCCACCCACTCATCCACCCCTAGGTGGAGGGATGGCACCCATCCATTCTCTCGTCAAAGGACGGAGGGTGGGGCTGGTCAGGTCTTGGACTCAGTGGCTGGATTCCCGTGAGACTAGAGAAGGGCTCTGTTTTCAGAAATGCCCTCTGCCCTGCCCCAAAGCGTCCCCAGCTGGTCCCTGATGCCAGGAGGGCCCTCAGAGTGCCCCCCTTTCCGATCACAGTCCCCTCTGGAAGGATGGAAAGCTGGGTGCTAACAGCCGGGAGGCGGAGCCTTGTGCTCTCCCTGAGCTCGTGGTCCTTGCCCACCTGGGGGGCTGGGAGAGGCCTCGCCCGCCTCACCAGGGGCACGGACACTGCTCACTGTGTGTCGCTCGGAGCAGGATCTGCTGTGGTCCTGGAGGCTGGGCCCAGAGCTGGGGAGCAGCTGCCCAGGCCCCAAGTGAGGAGAAGGGCGGGCGGGGACCAGCCCCATCTCTGCAGTCTCAACCCCCCCTTCACGGCGTCCCTCCTGCTGCACAGGAGGCTCTGGAGAGAGGCCGTCACTCAGCCCTGAGGCCACCAGCTGTGTGACTCCCCGGGGATGACTTCCTCTCTCTGGGCCTCAGCTTTACTCTTAGTTGAAATGGGATCATAGCAGCACTTACAGGCGCCAGGCCCGGTACTTAGAGCCCTTAATGCAGCGCACGTGTTTCTCCACCCAGAGTCCTTTGGAGTGGACGCTATTATTAGCCCCATTTTACTGATGAGTAAACCAAGGCACAGAGATGTGCAGTAACCTCCTCTAGACAGCCCAGCTGGGGAACAGGAGCTGGGGTCGAACTCAGGGTCTGGCCCCAAAGCTGCCGCGGCATCGGGCCGACCTCCTGGGGCCCCGCGCGGCGCAAACGTATCACTGCCCGAGGCTCACCGGACGTCCCAGTAGCGCTCAACACCCGCAGAACGGCGGTTCTCAATGGAGGGAGATGGCGTGTGCCTTCCAGGGACACCGGGCAATGTCTGGGGACATTTTTGGGTCGTCACAACAGAGGGTAGGGTACCGCTGGCCTCTCGTGGGTGGGGGCCAGGTTTGCAGCTAAACCCCTGGGGTGCACAGGACGGCCCCGCGGGACTGGAATGGCCCAGCCCTGAACGTCAGCAGCACCCGGGGTGAGAAGCCTGGGCTGCGGCCTAGAAGGCGCCTTCATTAATGTACCACCCATGGGCCTGCCCACCCTGGGCGCTTTCCCCAGCCGGCCGGGCCGGGCTGGGCACCGCCGGGCGCCACGTTCCCCGGGTCCTCCCTGCACCCTCCCAGGGGCACCGAGGGCAGCCTGGGCTGGGCTGGCGGCGATGGGTCGGCGCTCCCCTGGCCTCCACCGCATGGACCCCACCCGCTCCTTACCTGCCAGCAGAGGGTCCAGCGCCGTCTCCTCCATTCGCGCACCTCCTGTGCCCCGGCCTCGGGTGGGCGCCGGGTTCCCGCAGCAGGTGGGGTGGGCGCCGGTCCGCGCGACGCCTCTGTGTGGGAATCCTGGCGAGGTGGCCGAGGCGGCTCCCGAGCGAGCGGGGTTTGCGGAGTGAGTCAGCGGGCGAGAGGCTTCGCAGGCAGGTGTTGCCCCTGAGCTAATCATTAACGCACAGCTCCGACGCTTCCCGGGGTCCCGCGTGGCATCTGCCAGCCTTAGCCGTTAGCCGTGGTCCTGCGGGACCCACCCCACCGGGGCTCAGCTCGGCCTGGTTATCTGCAGAGGGGGAGGGCCAGTGCCCGGGACCCTCCCTCCCGTTGGCCACAGGGCTTCTGCTCTGGAAGGGCGAGTGGTTGAAGGAGCGGGGTCCCCTTTCCCAGCCGGCACTAACCCCCTGACCGGCGACGGGCCCTCAGGTCACCCTGCCGTCCTTTCCTAAGCACCTCTTCCGTTCCCCAAGCTGTGCCAGCTCCGGGATGGGCATCATCTCCTGGAAGACTCTCGCCAGCCTGCGAAAGAGGGCGTGTGTGTCTCCGGGCCACGGGCGATGGGGGCGAGGCCCGGGCAGGCGGCTGTCCAGGGACAGGCCTGTGAGCAGCACGGGAGGAAAGAGCGGGTCATTGCCTCTCTGGGGGGGCCCCGTTTCANGAGCAGCACGGGAGGAAAGAGCGGGTCATTGCCTCTCTGGGGGGGCCCTGTTTCGCACCTGGCAAGGGAGCCCCGTGGCGCGCAGGGCTGAGGGAAGGGCACGCAGAGACGCGCCGAGCACCGGTCTCCGCACAGGGCGGGCGCTCGGTGAACGCTGCTGCTTCCCAGGGGCGTCTCCAGGCCAGGGTCCTGGCTGCTCTGCTCACAGCAGGCGCTGGGTGACCGGTTATGTCCGGGGACTTGGCCGAAGCCACAGGGCAGGACAGAGCCTCAAGGCAGGAGGGTCTGACTCCCGATGACCTGCCTTAAACAGAGATGCATGCGGCCCGGGATATCGTTCACCGTCTGGGAAAGTGACCCGCCTTCCTTTAGCGGGGGTCTGACAGCAGCCGTCCCCGGAGTGGCCGCAGGGCTCCGTCCACGTGGGCTCCAGGCCAGCTGAGCTCCCGACATGTCACCGCCGGTGCAGATGACAGCAGAGCCCTGGCTGCGGTGACAGAGCGGCTGCTTGGCATTCACGCGTGTCGCTCTCCTGATTGGAGGGGGGCCCGAGGGCGTGGACAGGAGTGGCAGGTGGGTGAGGGAATGGAGGGAGGCCTCCCCCGGCAGGGTTGGGGGAGGCTCTGAGGGGCAGGGGGCTTTGAGGGGTGGCAGGGGGCTTTT